GCCTCAAATAAGAGTCGGTCTCTGTCGACAACTTGCTCGATCAGTCAAGAGCCAACGCCCTCCGACGAGCGACCTAAGAAACGCGGGTCCCAGCTTTTAGCCTAGGGGCAACCTGCCCCCGCCTCTAGCGTGGCTTTTAAGATCGGCAGCACAGCCTTACACTATCAGTGTAACGCGTTCAGTGTCCCCGTGCCGTTACCTGCCGCTGCGCGCCGAGCTCTAGATTTCTGCGCCTCGCCAAACGACAGAGGCCCATACCCCTTCCCTTTTTTCTCGCCTCCGTTTTTCTTCTGTGGTGGGTGGACTGACTCGGAAGGGAGCTCGCGGGGAGTGCCGTGAACCAGGCCCTCCAGTACAGCCTCACCGAAGATGATGAGGTGGAAGACCTATATCTACTCCTGAAGGAAGTCAAGGTACCCGTTCTATGCCGTACGCACCTCATGGCGCGGTCGAGCCGTTTTTTTGGCTTCGAGTTCCCGAGCGGATAGAATGGTGGTGTGTTTGTTTGCCGCCCATGGTTGGTGGCGGTGATAGTATTGTTGTTGGCAATGGGTACGGGGAGATTCGGTGGTGGGGATGGGGATGGCGTTGGTACTACTGCAAATATCGGTGTTTGATTGTGAGGTCGTCGCCGTAAGGGTGTTTTGGTGTCCGCGTTGACGACGCGGTGGTTTACCAAGAATACTTCGTGGCCAGTGATAGGTTTTTCCCTCATGATGTTGCCTGGTTGGCGTACGGCTATGTTGTCCTCGCCGTCGACACCCGCACCGCTGCCATCGAAAGCTGCTTCGCCACACAACCCGCGCGACCATCTCGATAGGAACGTTTCCCGGAGGTGGAGGGGGTCGGTTCCGGCGCTATCCTGTCCAACTACCAGCGCACGCGCGTGGAGAACGTTTGCGGGAGGCTGGGCCTGACGTCCCTCGCTTACCTGTGGAGAAGACCTCAGTCTCCTCTGTTGGCGGAGATGGTGGAAGCCGGCCTGGATGCTGTGTTGGTGAAGGTGCGGATGTACCTCTTTTTTTTTATACGGGAGATTATAACGCGGTGGTTTGATTTTGGCTCGCGCGGTTTGTTTTTTTCGCGCTTGCGATGTCCACACGTTTTCTAGATAGTGGTGCGAGGATACTAGTAGCGGCTACACATGCCATGTGATAGCGAAAAAGGCCTCCTGCGGCTGCGGCCAGGGGTGGCACTGCGTTTAGATGGAGGCTGTGCTGTGTACGTGATGGTGGTGTTACGTGACGATATGACGATGGCTTTGACGATAGTCAGATGTAGCGCTGCTGTTGTCGGCGAAGATGCTGGCCGGCGTGCATCCGAGAGGCAGAAACAACGCGACGATCGAAAGATAGGGCACACTGTCGATCAAAAATGCTCGGACTTGTCGCTTGTTTCAATCGTGACTGAACTTATTGGTGTTCACATTGGTGAAAAAATGCTCCAGGGTTTCGAGCATTGGTTGTTAGAATGTGTCCATTCAAACATCAAGTCCAACGCTTACATCAACTCTGATATTGTAGTTTTTGACACACACATATGCTATGGTACACACATGCGGTTTTCTTCTGTTTTTGCGACGGTATCTGTCTTTCATCCGGAGAGTAGCGCAGCCTCCCCCATGAGTCCCCCTCACAGGGTCCCAGATCATGCGGCCTTCAGAAGTATTTTTTGTTTTCAACCGCACTGAGACCGACGTCTTTCCATTGGTCAGCCGGTTAGCGCGGTGGATGCTATTTAATGCTGAAAAACATACATACACGCACGCGCGCGAAAAACGCACAGGTCGCGTCGTTCGGGCTGGACCCATCTAAACACCTCGGGCGCTCTCTCGCTCGCCTCCGGCCCTTCTTCGAGTCGCTCCACTCCCGCTGCGGCTTCCACGTATGCGGCGAGGGGGGAGAGTACGAAACCCTCACGCTCGACTGCCCTCTGTTCGTCAGGAAGCTCGTAAGCATGACGATGATGAACCCTGCGGTGATTGCCACACACACACACACCGTCCTCCAGCGATGGAAGTTGCACTGTTTTGGCGTGGACAGGGTTAGCTCGCTCTGACAGTTGTATTCTGGAGGGGCGTGGATGGAAAAACGCCGGGTGTGTGTGTCGAAGACGTCCCCTGTTCTGTTCTGCGTTGACCGGGCGTGCGAGTAGGGAAGGCTCGCCCTCAACTTCCATGATGGTTTGTCCTTATGCTGGGAAGACGCAACATCGGGGGATTCCACAGTTGGATACCCCCCCCTCCCCCCGGTGTTTTGCTATTGTGGTTGGGTTTTCGTCGCTTGGCAACGACGTTGTAACACAAGCCCGCTCCCCCGGTGTTTGCCGTCGGGATTGGGTTTTCGTCGCTTGGCAACGACGTTGTAACACAAGCCCGCTCCCCCGGTGTTTGCCGTCGGGATTGGGTTTTCGTCGCTTGGCAACGACGTTGTAACACAAGCCCGCTCCCCCGGTGTTTGCCGTCGGGATTGGGTTTTCGTCGCTTGGCAACGACGTTGAAAACAAGCCAATTCACTTCGTGAACTCGGCAACCAGGATACCGTTTTTTTTTTACCTCTGTTTTACCATATTGGTGGTCGAGTAGATTATGTTGTGCGGGGTGGAGAACCCTCACTCCACGCAAAGGGGATGATCACACTACATTGTGTTAAAATGGTCAAGCACCCTCGAGGCAGTTACACAGTGCTTACAACTGTCTCTGGAAGTGAAGCACCAGAAAATAAATTAAGTCATATACAGCTGTCATCCCTACGCAAGGAAGTGAGCACAAGATGCCGAACACCCTTAGCAGGATGCAGCGCACCCTTCATGCGACTCGCCGAATATCTCATGGCACTTCGCGCTTAGTGATGTGAGAGCCTGGCCCGGTGAGAACCCGGCGTGCTCCGTCCCGGCTTTGTAGGGATGCGAGGTCGATGGTCTAAAGACTACGGCATGCACGACTATGAGTACACCCCCCCCCCTCTAGTTGGTCGTGTTTGGCCCGAAGAATGAAGCGTTGCTTAACCACCTAGAACTTGTTCATTTATGTCCGTAAATATCCGGGTCAGCCTTTGGCCACGGAAAGTTATTTTCTTTGCCTTGAGTTGTAAGGTGCGGAACACGAGGGCTCTAATAGGTGGAGGTCAGAACCACCTTCGACGTGATTGAAGAAGCAATACTAACAAAAGACCGATCAAGCCAACAGTCCAAGCAACGATCGAGCAGCAAGTCAAACAACCAAATCGACGACAATAACAAAGACCAATCAAGTGAACAGTGAAGCAACAAGCAAGTAGCAATCAATAAAACATAAGTCAACAACAGCAACACCAACAGCAACAGTAACAGTATCAACAACGACAACAACAACAACAACAACAGGTGCTCGACGAAACCATGGTGGTAAACCACTCGGACGACATGTTCGCCCCCGTGGGACTCCTGAGGGTGGTCAAGTGCCACACCGAGCTGAAAATGCCGCCCCTCACCGGCGGCGGCATAAGCGCTGCCGACAACAACACCGGCAAAGCTAACACCACGGGCGGCGCCGTACTATCGAAAGCGGAGACGGCAGTGTCAATAGATGATGTTCCTTCCCTCGCCGCCGCCGCCGCCGCTGCTGCTGCTGCTGCTGCTGCTTCTACCACGGGTAGTACGGCTAGCGACGGGGGCGCCATTAGCAAGGATGCCGTTCCTGAATCGGTCTCATCGCCATCTCCTCGTCCTTCTTCGGTGTCGTGCTGCTTGCCGCATGTGCACGAAGGGTCGGGGGGGCTGGTCTACCTCTCCGGGGTTCGCGCTGCCGCGCGGTGGCCAGGGGGGGGGGGGGGTGCAGCGGCGGCGAGGCAGGCGGCCGACGGCCTGGAGGCGGCGCGCGCGGCTCTCGAAGGTGTCGGCGTATGTCTCCGAGACGTGTGCTTCGTGCACCTGTACTTGCGGGACATGGGGCTCTTCTCCGCCGTCAATGAGGAGTACTGCAAGTGAGACAGATACATATGGTTTGTTTAAGAGAAAAGTTCATTGCACGCAACTACTTGGTATGCTCTGGCCATCAGCGAGGAGTGCAGCAAGTGAGACACATGTGGTCAGAAAAAAATTTTGTTGCGCGGGAATGCATGCAGAAAAAAAAGTGTTTACTGCACATAGCTGCTTGCTGTTGTCTGGCCCGTTTTTCGTCATCCACGAGGGAGTGCTGCAAGCGAGGTAGATCGATCAAAGGCGATGAAACACAAAGCTATTGCTCTTGCTTGCAGGGGGTGTCCTGAAGGTTCAACTTCTTCTGTGACGAAATATCCCTCCCCAGGTCCGGGTTGTATGCATGCAGGGACGTCGGAGGTTGTGTTGTTGGGGTGTTGGGCGGTAGCAGCAGGCTTCGGTACGGCCTGACCTGATCGCTTTGAGTGCGTCGAGGCGTATGGACACCTTCAAGGGGGAGTTTGTTTCTTCACCCGTTTCCCCGATGCGTCAAATAATCTTTCTTGCGTCCCGCTTACAACGCGCACGTCGAAGGCATAGTGCGGGCATAGTGTAGGGTGTATGGTCGTTCCTTGCTGCTCGTGCATGGGGTGTCCTTCGTTGTCCATCACGGAAGAGAGAGGGAGGGAAAGAGAGAGAGAGAGNGAGAGAGAGAGAGAGAGAGAGAGAGAGAGAGAGAGAGAGAGAGAGAGAGAGAGACGTAAGAAGACAGGTATATTGGAAGCATGAGAGAGAGTGGGAGAGAGGGGAAAGTAGGAGAGGGAAAGACGTAAGACAGGACATAAAGACAAGAAGAAAGGCACAGGAGAGGAGAGATGGAAAGAGAGAGACAGAGAGAGAGACAGAGAGACAGAGACAGAGACGGAGACAGAGACAGAGACAGAGAGACTGAGAGACAGAGAGACAGAAACAGAGACGGAGGCAGTCAGAGTGAGAAAAGTTTAAAAAGACAAGAAACGCGCAATCCGAGCAGGTGGTTCGAGGGAGAGAACCCGCCGTCGAGAAGCTGCGTGTCTGTCCGGCTGCCGCCGGGCTGCTCCGTCATGCTGGACCTCGTGGCCCTCCGTGGAAGCGGGGAGGCTCTGGCGAAGGAAGGGGCGGCCTGCGCTCAAAGACAGGTACTGTACCCTTGAGGTCATGGTTTGGAGACACACTAGTTTGTGTGTTTGGTTTTTGCTTCGATTATCCGCTGGGTTGTCCTCGTTTCGGTGTGCGAATGTGGCCGGGGTTTGTGCGCTTTCTGTCCTCGAGTTTCCTCAAAGTAGGATCGATGTCATCGAGTACGTATGCATAGCCTCGCAGTAGTTGTTCGAGACCCGTGCGTAGAGAAACCCTGGCTGGCTTTGGGTACATTCAGCCAAGTCGACTTCACTCCCCGGCTCCCTCTCCTCTTCCGCCTTCCTTCCTACCCCTCTCTTTTCACCACTCTCTGTCTCCTCCGCTGGGCGTCACCCCCCCTGCATATCGCCCCGTCCCGGCATTTTAGTGATGCGAGGTCAATGGCCTCACGACTACGACATGCGTTTACATAAGTACCCCCCCCACCTCCACTACTTTTAAATATAAAAACAGGTGTTGCACGTGCGCAGCATATCTTCCTGGGCCCCTGTGTGCATCGGCCCTTACTGCCAGGCCAACACGCTAGGCCCCGGAGGGGGTTTCGCCCTTGTCGCGGGGCAGATAGGCCTACAAGCCGCCTCCATGACCTTCCCCGCCCGCCGCAGCGGCCGCCCTCCGGCCCCGTGCGCGGGGGGTTCCGCCTCCAAGGTAAACTTGTGGTATCGTCGTCGTCGTTGTTGTTGTTGTTGTTGTTGTTGTTGTTGTTGTTGTTGTTGAGCGTGGTGATGATGGTAGTGGTGGAAGAGGTGGTGGAAGGTGGTGGTGTTGGTAGTGACTGCAGTGATGAACGCATTGCCCTTGTTGTGCTTGCCCCGCCTACCCGTTTTCAATCCTCGTCCCCTTTTCCGTGCAGGAGGCCATGAGCGAGACGCGACCAATTCACGAGCAGGAGCTGTCGCTCTGTGTCAGCCACGCCTCCTCGGTAGCCTCCGCGGTCGGCGCTAGTGTGTCACGAGGGTGCGTGTTCGCCACGCTCTACGTCAGCGAGGAAGCAGCGGCGGCGGCGGCGGGAGGAGGAACGGCTGCTGTGGCACATGCAACGGCTGGGGTAATGGACAGAACGGACGAAGAAGGAGGCGTGGCGGGAGAGGGGCGCGGGGACACAAGGCGACCCAGCAGCAGCGACGCGGGCACCTCGGCGGGAGCAGCAGCACCGGCAGGCGGCAGCGGCGGCTCGTTGGAGGGCATGGTCGACGAGTGTCGGGTTCTCATGGAGGGGAAGCTTACGCAGGAGCAGGCGGAGGCGGCTGCGGAGGTGGCGGGGACGGAGGGAGGAGGGGAGGACGACGATAGCGCGGAAGACGGATGGACGAGTGATCCGGAAGAGCTCGCCAAGGAGGCCGCCAGGAAAATGGTGAGGGGCGTTATGGGGGGGAGGGGACACCGCAGAAGGCATGATAGGGTGCTGCAGGACCGGGTATTGCAAGATAGGGTGCTGCAGGATAGGGTACTACAGGATAGGGTACTGCAGGATTGGATGCCGCAGGATAGGGTACTGCAGGATAGGGTGAGGCGGATTACGTGGTGCTCGCTTCCCGCCCGCTACACGAGGTTATTGTTTCCTTCTGTAAAGAAAAAATTCTTCGTGCTCTCCGCGTCGTTCCTCAAGGGACGCCCGAAAAGGTTGCGAGCAACGGACTACGTTAGCCGCTTGAGCCTCTCTCTGTGTCGCTTGAGCAGTCCCCTGAAGGACGCTGTCTTTTGGATGAACAACCCCCCTTGTCGAGTGAGCAGCTGTCATATCACAGGAGGAGCCTGTTGTATCAGCTCGAGCTGCTGCTTTTGTCGTGAGCGGCAAGCGGCCTGTCGCTTGAGCAATCGACTGCAAGCTTGATCAGCTATGCCAACTGCCTGGCGGTGGGGCAGTGCCTGTCAGTGCGGGTATATACCGCAGGTGACACAAGATATCGCACCCCCTGGACCGATTTTCAAAGCTCGATTTTCCCGCGGCACAAAGAGTTGAATCGCCGGGAATGGCGGCGTTGAAGCCGTCTCGTCGAGAGCTTTCCGAAAACGTATCGGATCGTTCATGCATCCTCTTCATCGTTGAGTATCGATCCCCAGGGAATGTGGTGTCTTGTGCCATGTCACCTACGGCACACCTCGCGGGTTTATTGGAATCCCCCCCCCCCCCCCCCCCCC